TTAATCTGGTTTGAAAAAAATGTTTTTTTTTTAACAGAAATAAATTATGGTACAAAATGAAGTTAAAACGTTACAGTGAATGAAAAGAAGAAATTATGCGAAACAAATATATGTATTATAAAATTAATTTAACAAGAACTGAACGCATAATGTGATATAACATAGTGTATAACAAACTATAAGACAATATAATTGCAAGAAGAAATAATTGCATAACCACACACATATTCGAACAACTTGCATAACATAGACAAGAGAATTCTCTTTTTTGTTTATTATTGCTTCTCATGATGATTTCTGTTATTCTTTGATTTTCTTGATTTTCTTCTGTTTTTTCATTTTTAAATCAATATAATCTATATTGATCGCGCAGATATAATCTTCATTGTATAATAAAAATACGAAAATATAGTATTCCATTTAAATATACATGTGTGTATGTGTATGTCATGCGCGCGCGCGCGCGCGTGTGTGTGTGTGTGTGATGTGTGTGTGGTGTGTGCGTGTATGTATATATATAATAAAATTATTTTTAAGTTTTAAAGAAAAATTGTTCATTATATGATATATAGAAATACGAAATTAGTGTTTAAGATATATGTATATATTCAACAAATTAATTTTTATGTGTAAAGAAAAATAGATTATATAATCTTGTTTTTATTATCATAGGAAAGTTACTTAAAGAAAAATAAATATAGTAATATACATAAAGATCTATTTTTAATAATTGTATCTCATTTAGATTTATAAGTCATCTACCCTGGGCAATTTTTGTCCTCACAAAATAGGTCCCGAGGACTCGTAGATAATTGAACGTTGATATTAATGACAATTGATATAAATTTGCTGACAGACAATAATTTAAATACTCGAATTTTTATTTAAAACTGCGATTTTATTGTCCGAAATTGATTATCAAGAGATATAATAACTATAGAAAAAAATGATACAGCAGTATAAAAATATAGCATTCCAAGTACATACATTTACGGAGCATTTAGTAAAAAATCATAAATTTAATAATATATTAGCCAAATATTTATGTTAATGACGATTTATGTTTTGAGTCAACTTTAAAATTCTAAAATTCAACCAATAGAGCTGTCAATCCTAAATGAAATCTATATTTCATTGGCTGAATTTTAAGATTTTAGAGACCGAAGCATAACTAGGCATTAAATAATTATA